CCTTTGTGTGTTGGGATTAACACGTGTGTGTGCTATGCGTGGACGTGGGTCCAGCCCCTGGACCTAAGCTCATATCCAGGTGTTTTGACGTTGCCCTACCGTTGCAGTATGACGGGTATTGGAAGAAAGTGAGGTCAGCTGTTCTAAAATCACCACTGCGCCCTTGGAACAGTGGTGGTTCTCATCCTCCTTGGCGAAATATCACATTATTTGACTTCCAACTTACCTACCGCACTGGGACTGTTTCACAGTCACACAGAAGCCATCCTATATTGATCCACTCTAATTGCGAAACATAAGTGAGCATTCTCACTCTGTCCTAGGTTTTCGGCCTAGCGTCCAAGCCGGCGGTCGTATATAGACAGGCGATCAGTAATGGAGAAGTTCTACGAACAAACGGAAATGTCCATTTCTGACCTGCGAACGCCCCTCTGAATATTCTCGATCGCAGAGGACGAGACTTGGGTGCGCGGCTCAGGTGTTTGATCCAAGTGCTCAGGGAACACTTAGGGAACTCAGGTTGAGGTGTGTGACTGGCTGCTGAAGAAGGCCAAAATAGTCATTTCACTCTGTGTGGCTTTTGCCAGCAGCACAGGAGAGGGGAGATACCGGTAGAGACAAGGGAAACCAAGGTGGCCATTTCTGGTCTACCAGCCGTCGTCAGCCTGCCTAACCTAATCCTAGGTTTGGGATCGAATCCAGGATCTCTGGTAATTGAGTCCAACGCTCTACCACTGGGCCATGGATTCTTTGTTCTGTTCGTTGCGATCGGGAATGTTAACTACGCGGGAAGTGCTTTCACCGATCAGGTCACGGCGCATGCTCGCTCCGTTGTGCCTTGGGGCCCAATCTAAAGCCCTTGTGGGCAGTCGCACAGCGAATGATAGCATATACGGGGAAGGAAATTGCCGACAAAGACAAGGGAGACAGAGGTGACCATTTCTAGCCTTATTATTCGTCTTCCATCAACCTTGCGCAGACCCAGGTTAGCAGGACGTGAGTTTCGAGGCTGCGTTCTTTGGTCATCGAGCGTTAGTCAGTTCAACGTCCTACCATTGAGCCGCCGTGCGATCGCGAATGCTAACTTTACCGGACAGGACACGCTCGCTCCGTTGCTCCATTATACTGAATGTTTGTAGTTGCCGCTTCCTTTCTGAGTGCAGGACTATTTTCCACTAATAGAATGCTTCCTGCCCAAATAGGTTGATCCATACTGTTGATCATACGGCGTTTGTTTTTGCCTTTGTAGCTACGACGTCAAATGTCTGACACGGCTGTCGGGGGTTTTTATCTCATTGCGACATTACGATTTACCGCCCTACAACGAGCCGCGTGGTAGATGAGGTGAACCAACGCCGAGGGGGGGGGGCATGCGTTTTGGGCTGCGCATCCATAACACGATGGCACGCCTGGGTGCAGGCGAACGCCGCGCCAGCGGTCTCCGGTCTTTTTAACTCTGTCTTGACACCGGGCTCAAGGGGGTGGGGGAGGGGAGAGTGCGGTAGATACAGTGCGAGTTTACTGTCACCATTAAGCTGGTGCACGCATGAGTCACCGTCCCTGCGTCCCTTCCATTTTTTCTCGTTGGTCTTCGACGAGCCATTAAAAAGATATCATACAGAGTCCATGAAATTTTGCAATGGATGCGGACTATGTTGTACATTTCATGAGGTGCAGTGGTAAACGGCCAGGTACGATGCTATGTAAATGGACATTGCGTGGTCTTAAAAAAATATCATAATTAGAAACTTTGTAAAACCTAACTATACTCCCTCTTTGAGTATAAAATATAAAGAACACGTGTTTCTCTATTGATTGACCGAAGTAAAGCATATTTTTATTTATAATTTCTATAAGATATATTTGAATTTGCAAGACTATCGAAAATAAATGGAAAAAATGCATGCTACTTAAGTAGTCACATTTTACCGAGTACGGTTTCTACAGCAGTGTATTCAAAAGCTGACATCCTGCCGAGTCCGAAATGTTATAAGATTATGCCGCAAGACAATCGGTATTACAACCGCGACCAAGCAATCCTTCCTAATCGAAAACGCATTTCAGAATCTCAGCCGACATTTCATGAGTTCGGTCACTCACTGTACTTCTTAGAAAACATGGACAAAAATATTCATTCTTCTACTCATTTGGTAGAAAATTACGTCTTCTCCCAGTTTTTTACTTGCAGGAAGGATATAATTTGGTTTTCAAAAACTTTTCTAATTCCCGAGCAATTTTGAACCCGACCTGCTGTTACACTTGCACCCAGGCTTTCTAAATTACAAGCCGTATATTTTCCGCGTACGGAAAACCATGCATTTCTATGCGGTATTAAGAGGAGGCCATATGGAGTTCATGAAATTTGACAGTGAACTTGAGTCATACTGCTCACGTTACAAGCTACATTGGTAAATGCAGAGACACGAGGTTTTATGAACGGCCATTTCACGATATTAAAAAAATCTCACAATTAGAAACTTTTTTAAAACAGAATTTTACCCTTGCCTCAAGCATAAAATTGGAAGAAGACCTCATTTTCTACCAAATGAGAAGGAGGATGAATATTTTTATGCATCAGTTCAATGAAATATAATTGAATCGAAAATCAATGAGAAAATGCATGCTACTTAAGTAGCCATTTCTTTTAGAGTGTAATTTTTGCATGCAGCCGGAAGGAAGTTCATTCGAAAGCGGCATCCTGAGGTAATTGAATTATTATAAAATTATGCTGCAATATGATTAGTTTTACAACCCTACTCAATTATTCTTTTCGAAACGAAAACGCATTTTGGGATTTCGGTTGACATTTCATGAGTTAGCCCCCCGACTGTAGCTTCTTCCTGCTTTTTAGACATTATTCCACCCATAGAGTTGAGTCTGCCTTTAGAAACTGGCCACTTTCATATTCCGAAATCTCTGAAGAAGGATTTTAGTAGAATGCTGGCGTTTTTTGCAGAAAACCAAAAAGTGTACGATCCTACAAGCAATACCTTTTAAGAATTTAAATGAAGCGGGAAAACTCTCGTGGACACTTAGGTTAGACCACTTTGCCTATGCAGTTGGTTGCCCGACGTACATCCTTATCCATCCATCACATCCGTTCTTTTCAGACTACCAGCGCTTTCCAATAAAGCATATAGACTGACGTGGTCTGTCAGGCGAGCTCGCGGCTCCTGTTTGGAATTTCTTCTCCAACCATCCCGTCGCCCAAGGAGCTGAGATTATGCTGCGTCGACAGACTGCCTCCCTCCTGTCTAGTCGGGTCTTTGTCCACGTCTATGATATGGTAGGTTCCAGCGTGTCCTTCAAATTTTATATGTCCCCCTACATCGCCTAACCGTTATGAGCGGCGGCCGCGTCTCACGATAGGCAAGTAGAGTTGAATTATTTGTCCGAACTGTTTTCCCTGAATGAGACAACAGGAGTCGGGAGGACAAAATAAGACAGTAAGTTGTTCCGATAAGGCGACCAAACTGAAAAAAAACTGGCGAACACTTCCTTGCATTAAAAAATGTGTCCGGACTCTTTGGAAAACACCTAAGGAGGCACCAAATGCGAGTGGCGTATAAAGCAACGACTACACTGCCAACTCAGCTTGTACAGCCTACGGAGGCGGCTGGGGATTTAGATGAGAGAGAAGGCTTCAGGATTCCACGCGACGGCTGTGATTTATTGTGCCGTGATCAAATAGGAAAACCGGCCTCTGCACGCATACGCGAACACTAGTTGTCAGTAGAAATACGGGACTAATTGTGAAGGAGGCACGATCGCTGGAACAAGAGATCTGTTCGCCAGACGTTTCGGATTCCCGCTCGGACCCATCATCAGAGACTAGCAGATACGGGTGGTTCATGTGCAAAGGGCTGCAGTATTTATAGGATGCACTCGCCATGCCACCACATACCTATGAAGATTCACGGCTCCCCCTCCCCCCTTCACCAGTGATCGTTGCATGTGGTGTGATGACTGTTTGATGGTCGACATTCGCGTCGTTAATTGCCGCAATTTTATCAATTGCGTTGGATGTTGACGTGATGATTGCTCGACCATCTGATCCGCCGACCCTTGCGTTGGGAACACTGTTCGCCTGTATGCTCCCCGCTTGGCTAATTACTCCACATAGACGAGGTCTCAACACTGAGTATGGAAGGGGAAGGTCGTTGCACTTGTCAATAAACTGAAAGCCAGTGTATCATGACTCAAGCAGCTCCCGGCTCACACGGTTGTCACCTCTAGCAAGAATTTCGACTTCGTCGAATTTGAATGTGTGGCCGGGTCTCGTTGAACGAGCCGCGACTTGAGAGCTGGCGTCATTTCTCCACACGGCTGCAGCGGTTCGGCCATTCGCGTCCAGAGCTGTCTTCCGGTTTCTCTGACGTAATTGCTTTGTCCGCAGCTACAGTAGATCCGATAAATGATTCAAAAAGGTTGTTGTCGTGGCAGTGGGTCTTTCGGTTTCATTACCTGACGCCTGATGGTTGCCTCCGGTCTGTGTGTAACTCCAACCCCAAGTGGTGAGAGAAAGCGGCCGACAGCTTCCGAAACGTTCTTGACATACGGAAGCGCTCGCCAAAATTGGGGGTCCGTGCGGTTTGGCCTTTCGTCCCTTTTGCGTATGCACCGATTAACGAAGTTGCGCGGGTGGCCATTGGCTGTGAACACCCGTCGAAGATATTGTTTTTCGACAGTTTTGCCGTCCAGCTCAATGCAGCGCGTTTCAACACGCCGGTAGAGCGTCCTTGCACAATTACGCTTGTGACTGATCGCGTGGTTGCTGTTGAAGTTCAGTACTTACGTCGTATTTGTCACTTTCCCGAACAATTTGGTCTTTAGGCCACCAAAATCTTTGCGGTATACGAGGACATCCAGGAAAGCCAGCTGGTTGTTCTCTTCCTCCTCCATCGTAAATTATATGTCCGAGAAGACCGCATTCAGATGTTCCTTTAATGTCAACAGTTGATCCCGGTCGATAACGACAAGGGTATCATCCACATACTGGGCCCAGAACTTCGGTTTGTGGTGTTGGAAGAGCAGCGACTCTGACCGTTGCAGGACCGCCTAGGCGATGAGTCCCGAAATCGGTGAACCCATTGATGTGTCCCTCACCTGCTCATAGATTATCCCGTCGAACGTGAAGTACGTCATGAGACAGAACTTCAAGAGCTGAGGGACCTGGGCGTATCCAATACAATTCTCCGTTCCATCGTATTTGCTTTTTTGAAGCAGCTCGATTGTCTCGATCGCCAGATCCTGGGGAATAAAAGTAACAGAGGATGTGACATCAAAAGATGCCATGACCTCATTTGGAAGGAGGCTTACCCCTTTAAGTTTCTCTAGGTATTGTGCTGACGAAGAGACCGTGGTGTATTTTAGCGCCAGAAGATACCATACTAGCAGCACAAGGGATCAGCTAAAAGCCCAGACACGTGTTTCGCCGATATTCTGCTGCTGCATGGCACAGCTGCGTGGGGTTCGGCTCATCGATGGGTCCTCCAGCATTCCCCGTGTGCTTTCTAGTAGGTACTCCAATCTAGAAATTGTTGCTTTTTAATTTCCTCAGAAATTAACTGCTAACTTGGAGTAGGTCAGTTTATACTAAGGTCTATGGGCGCAGACCGTGGTGTCTGACTCAGCGGTCAGGAACTTAAGACGCTGGAACAGCCACTTCGGCAGTCCGTACGTTGGAGTACCTTTGAGCTACACGATTGGTCGGAGAGAAGTGCCCTCTTTGTGCACCTTGGAGAGGCCATAGAATCGGACTAAAACCTTATCGTGGGGCGTCACCATGCGTCTGTCAGTCGGTGTTACTGCACCTGCGTTCTCCAGGGCCAGCAACGTAGCATTCATTCCGCGTGTCAGCGCTCTTACGAGGTTGGTTGCACATGGCTCCCAGTCTATTAAAAGGTGCAACGAACTTACCCTCTTCCATACTCGGTGCCGAGACTTCGCGGAGTAATGAGCCACGCGGGAGCGCACAGGTGAACACTACTCCCAACGCCAGGGTTTGATGGTCGAGCAGTCATCACGCCAACATCCAACACCCATGATGAGAATGCAACGTTTGACGACGCGAATTTTGGCCATCGAACAGTCACCACACCAACTGCAAAAATCCCGATGATGGGGGAGCCGTGAATGTCCTAGGTATGCGGTAGCATGCCCCTTGCACATGAACCACACGTATCTGTTATTGTCTCTGATGATGAGCTCGAGCAGGAATCCGAAACGTCAGGCGAATAAAGTTCTTGTTCCAGCGATCATGTCTTCTTGACGACTGCCTCCTGGGACTCCTCTCTTCGCTTCTATTGGGACTACTTGTCTGAAGTCGCCATGCATACACTGGAAACTGGACACAAATTTGCTTGAGCTAAACCCGCATCTTTAAAGTCTGTCCATCTAAAAAACGCTGAGAATTTATCGAGGCCACAAACCCCAATAACTTGTGCATCCACCGGCACGTTGAACTTGACTGCGTGTACGACATTTTCGAGGTAAAATGAAAAAGACTCAGGCAACTCAGACGAATGTCAGCCTACAGCAATGAGCAGTATTGATTTTTGTGCACGTCTGACGACGGCATGGCGAACCAGCGTTCTTAATTTACGAATAAAGCTTGTTGTACTTCTTGAGGTGCCCATTTTCCACCGATCGCGTTACGGGACGCGCTCTTACCGACTTAATTTAGAGTCCTCACAGACAGTTCCAGGGCGACTAGTAGTATTTTTAGGTAAGATAGTGTCGGGGGAGACAAGGGGACCCAGATAGTAGTTTCTGGCATAGTAGTTATCGTCAGCCGGCCACACTCAACCCCGAATTTGGGGGAGACCTAAGGTTCGAACCTGGTTTCATTGTTTACTGAGCGCAAAGTATTCTTACGCTCTGTAATGGAGTCACGAGCATGTTGTTCTGTCGGTTGGTAGAGCGACACTAGGGAATCGATCCGCACGGAAACTGAGCGCATTCGTCTCTAAAATCAGTCTGACGCGCTTGAATATATGACAACACTGTAAAAGTCGCACTTTGCACGCGTGATGATTTGTCTAGCCCTGTCAGACACTTTGCGCGCTCACCGCCAGTCGTTCTGATATTGTCTTGTCATCGCAGCCAGGTGATTCGGGGGGTGGGGGTAGATTCCGCACAAGTCTGTCTCACTATTTTACGCGCAAATCACGTCCGCTGCGCTCACTCCGTGGGGTGTTCGCTGTGGACGTCAGCGCTCGTGACAGTCGGACTGTCGTCGCCTGAAAAGCGGATCTGAGCCATCTCACCCAGCGCTTGACTTCTCTCTCTCTCTCTCTCTCTCTCTCTCTCTCTCTCTCCCTCTCCCTCTCTCTCTCTCTCTCTCTCTCTCTCTCTCTCTCTCTCTATAAGCAACCAAACGTCTACTACTTTTTTTCAAATAAAGACCTGCTTTGGTCAGAAGGGGGGAGAAGTAGGTGCATTGTTGCACACATAGAGGGAGCCCGGCGTCAGGTCAGCTGCCGCGGCCACGCGTACATTCAGTCGTCATGGTGATGTCTTACCGCCCCGGAACGCAAGGGGTGTGGAAATGGGAAGTGAGGTAGATGCTTCGAAAGCCCGCTTTACCACACAAAACGTTCCGCGCGGAAGTCAGCACTGCACTGTCTCTCCAGGCCAGTGGGGATTCCTGTCGCGTACGACGCAGCGACTGTCAGACGGTAGCCAGCGTCCAACATTCACAGTTCTGCAGGCCTAGGCCGACCCCAAGCGCGTTCTGTCCGTGTACGGGGCATCCGGTTCACATGCAAAAACAATCTCAGCATGCTGTTCAAGCCCTATGAAGGTGTGGTTCACTCCTGGGTAAGTTTGCCAGCTAGGAGGCGGGGTCTGGCCTGTCAGACTCAGCTGTGTCGGGTTCTAACGTTCTCCAGGTCTGCGCTAACCCTGCTTTCTAAACCTTTCGAATTCCCAACCTACCTGTCAGTCCTTTCCTGTGAAGAACGGACTGTTTCCTCCTGCAAAATCCCTGTGTGTTTAGAAGAAGAAGAAGATGCAATCACTGGAACAAGAAGTATATTGGCCTGACGTTTCGGATTCTCAGCCGAACCCATCATCAGAGACAGTTGCAGATAAAAGGTTCGAGTGAGCATCCCAAACGTCAGGCCAATAAACTTCTTGGCCAGTGATAGCATTTTCTTCTTCTAAACTGCTTCCTGAAACTTGGTCGTTCGCTCCTATTGGCAATCCCTGCAATCTCTTCTCTTCGGCTACAACCTTCGGTATTGGCGATCTCCCCCTTTTTTTCCTCCCCCACAGTCCTGGCTGAACGAATACATCAGCAACATTGGCTTGGGAGTCTTCCACACCGGCGTCGAGGTCTACTCGCGTGGTGAGTTGTTTCTTCTTCCACCCTCTTTTACTTTTCCGCTCTCTGGATACCCGATGCGGAGGTCTTCGGTCTACGGTCGGCACTCGGTTTCCTGAATTCAGCCTACTCTGCTGGCTGCCACACCATGCAGAGCTAGTTCTCTTACACTGCGGGGCTTAGGCACAATGGCTGTGTGTTTTTTTTACCACACACTCGATTTGACTCACATGATGGGGACTTTGGCCGTTGTCCGCGGCATCTCAGTCAAAGCTTGCCACTCTACTTCCCGGTGTTGCGATGACCGAAAATCAACTCCCCTCCCTGTCTCTTAAGAGATTTTTCGTCATGTCCGCGATTGTCGGTGTCTGCATGTAGCTCCGCCCAACAGGAAAGAATACCGACAAAGGCAGACCGAGATGGCCATTTCTGACTTGCTAGTCGTTGTTAGTCAGCCATACCCAACGCCAGGTTTTTTGGGGGAGGGGGGGGATCGGCGTTCGTTGCTGCGGGAGAATAAGATCCGCCGCCCTACCAGTAAACCGCGGGTCTCCGATAACCAGGTCACCCAAACCGGGGCCTGTGTGTAGTATAGCTGACTGACGACGGCTAATAAGTCGGAAACGGCCGCCTGCTTGTCTTTGTCGAAGTTCCATATACTCCGCCTGCGTTTTACCTATGAGAAGCCGGTCTCATCAATTAGTGGCGCAACCTGTGCAGAAAGGGCGGGAGGAGATGGGTTTGTGCCGATTTCCCCAACAAAGGCAGGGGAAGGGGGTAGGAGTTGGGCTTGTGCCGATTGGGCAAAAAATATTAAAAGGTTAAAAAAAACGGTGTAAAACACCAGCGGAGTATGAATATACATAGGTAGTAGGTGGCGTATCTCAGGAAATGTTGACGGAAGTTCGAGTAGGAAGTAGTTCTCAGGTGTGGTTGCAATACTGATTATTGTGGGATGTAATCCGAGACTATTTAAGTCACACCAAAATGCCGGCGTTTGATTATGCACCCTTCCGGCCGCTTACGAGGATTAAATTCACTAGGAATGACTACCTAATAGGCATGATTTTATTTCACTTCCGATTTTCTTCTACATCGAAACATATTTTACGGAAAGCATGCCTGAAGGTATTTTTATACTAATTTTCTAGCAAATTATATATTCAAACTTCTTGCTAAAAGTACCGCTATCTTCCAGTTTTTTCAAAAAAGTTTTTCAATTCCCTAATACATCTGAACCCGACCTGCCATTGCGCTTGTACGTAGGGTTTACACACACACACACTCCCTACCCTCCTCCACCATCACCAACACACATCAACACTTACCCACCGCATGCACCAACTGCCACCTTCCACGCAAGTGGGAAGTGTGCATCTCGTTTCGGTTCCCACGCGGCTTCGGCTGTACGGGTGATTTGAGTCCGAGACTATCCCGACACTTCAAGTGTCGTGGATAGGAAGGTTGCTGATTGATGCCCGCTCTCGGTTCACGCAGTTCGTCGCGTTGTGTGTGTGTGGTGTGTGGAGTGGCGGACTGGTGGGCCGGGAACGGGCTGAAGCAGCACCTTCCACGGCCCTCTCACGCAAGTGAGAGACACGCCGTTCAACCCCCGTTGTGTGAAATCCTGGTGTTTGTGTGTGTATGGGGGGCCAGGTCGTGCTGTGGCGCGCGCAGTCACGGTCAGTCGACCGTGGCAGCCACCGCGCCCATCCACCACTCCAGTTTGCCGACCGGCTCGGACGGCGGCTGGAGTGTGGGAATGGGAAGGGAGAGTGAGGTCGACGACTCAGCGCACTTTTTCCTCACTATAATCAATCGGACGCGCTTGAAGCTATCACGGTGCGCTAAAAGCCGTGGCTTGGAAGGTTGCCAACTGACGGGGTAACGTGGACCTCCTCCTTGACCGGAGGCGGTCTGAGAGTCAGGCTGCAATGGCTCCTTTTTAATGTGGCCTTTATGGCACTCCCACCACAGCGTGGTATCCGAGCCAGGCGTTGGCGGCACGCCTAGGTGCGGCTTCGGTCGTGCCAGCCTCCAAATCTCTGTTGTGTTGGTTGAAATCCTGGTTATTGTTGTGTGGACCAGGGGGTGTGGTGGAACGCCAAGGTGAGGATCCGTCCGAGCCATCCACCTGCGGCCTCCCTCGTCTCCGGTCTTCTTGACTCTGTCTTGACACCGGGCCCAGGCGGGGGAGGTGGAGAGAGTGTAGGTAGATGCAGCGCAAGTATACTGGCACTATAAACCCCTGCGCAAGTCACCGTCCCTGCTCCAACCTGCTGTGGGGCACACGGTGGACATCATCGAAATCGATGGTCGAACTGTCAGGGTTTACAAACCAAAAACTGTGCACATTCCATAAGAAAAATCGCAACCCTCTCCATGCTGTTAGTGAGGGTGGAAGTGTACCACATTTCCTGCATCCAAATAAGCACTAATAAGCAGAAATACACGATGTTTAACTTAAAAAACTTAAAAAACCACGAACTTCGTTAAACCGACAGATTCCGCTTCTTTAAGCAAGCTTAGTACAAGAAGGGATACTTGTGTTCACGTTTTCTACAAAATATATTTCGTTATGTTTGCATGCTTTGGGATTTCGTTCTAAACTTATGAGTGGACCGCACGCCTGCCATTATAGACCTAAAAGATTATCCAAATAGTTGACTCTGAGCGCGGTCCGTTTCTGAATCGTGTATTAGCTGAAAGTAGACCCAAAAAGTATCTATGCGGAAAAGTTGAGATGGCCATTTGATAGGGATCCTTTTCGCACTTACGAATGAGATATTTGCATATGCCTGGAAATTAGGGGGGTTTTAAAACGGGAACTTGCCTGTCTCTGTGCTTGATTGCAGCATTTTGTAGCACATAAACACACAGATGCCTGCACAAATCAGAATTTTAAGGGGAAAAAACTTGTTTTTCCTTACACACCGTGTCTCTTCGCGTCTTCACTTGATTTACCCGAAAACAGACAAAAAAAATTAAATTTTAAAGCGCACTGGCGCGCTTCATATGTCAACGTCATGTCGCGAACTGGCTCCATTGGCAAAGATTGCCCGTTTAGGCGAAATTTTGGCGTCTGGCAGCCAACCCATCTCCTGCCGTTGCCGGAGCGGGGTTAAAAAGCCAAGCATGACGCTGGTGTTGCCAGACGATCTGTACCTGTGCACTCGAGGCGCGTAAGATGTCCAAGACGATTGGACTCTGATTGTTTATTGTGTTAGTTGACTTAGCAGAACTGTGAATATTCCTGCAAGCGTCCTAAGAAATATACAAATGTGTTTTTTCTGACACGTGACTGCTTACAAGTCATGTATGAAGTTAAAATTTTGCCAGTCGTAGCAACTGAGTGGGATTTATCCGAAAATGGAAAATTGGTAGGTGATGTTCCAAACGCCTTTGATTATACATGTTTCTCCCCTCTTAAGATGCTCGACTGACATTGAGCATGCTGTCGTATGCGAATGAATTTGAAATTATGTTTTATGCCAATCGGTGCCGCAGGAACATTTACTGAAATCCTGAGCTGCAATTTCGGTTAGAAAGATGCACTTAGGTGAGGGGTTGTGGATTTTAATAATGTGCAGCATGAAAGGTTGTTTTAATCACGATCAGATATCGGCTTTTGAATGCAACAATCCGACTTCCTAGAATGCCTACTTAAGTAATGTGTTTTTAATGGATTTTTGATGCCTTGCTCATAAACCAAGGCATATTTTGTAGAAGGCATACACAACAATACCCTTTTTTGTGCCCAATTTTGTGGTAAAATACAGTCAGTAAGCGACCACGTGTAACTTTAACCGACAATTAGGAATGATTAATTACCGTGCGACCTAATCCCAGAGTATTTGGAACACGCCAGGATGTTGACCCTTGAAAGCATTCCTCCTCGGCTGCCTACAAAAACAGCACTTGGTAAAAATGACTGCTTAAGTGGTATGCACTTTTATGCTGATGTTCATTGCCCTTATAAATTCAGATGTATGTCATAAGAACACCGACACAAACATACTCTTTCTTGTATTCGTTTGGTAGCAAATCACGTCCGCAAATTTCACACTTGGGCAAAGCGTATATTTCCGGTTTTGAAGAGGTTTCTACCTATGGAATCTTTCCTTATTACCATGCAGTATCTATTCAGTCCGTTTTTTAATGCCCCTCAGGAAGCGTACAACACAGTCTACGTCAGCTGCTAGATTTTATGGACCCTCTATGATATCTTCTTAATGACATAGAGGAATTTATGAATTTCCCCACGCGGAACGTATACAACGCGTAACCTAAAAAACCATAAACGCAAATGTGGCGGCGGATGGGGAGAACTTTTTTAAAACCTAAATATACCCAGCCGTTGAATGTAAAAGTAGAAGAAAGAAGAAGAAGAAGAAGAAGAAGAAGAAGAAGAACTAATCCTCTCCAAAACGGGTATAAGAAATAATATTTTTGTGCAAGTCTTATGTAAACTATATTTAAGTTTATAAGGGCGTCGAAACTCAGTAGAAAATATCCATATAACGCTTAGGTTGTCATTTTTTGCTGAGTGTTGTTTTTGCAGGCAGCCAAAAAGTTAACATCATGGTTTGTCTGAAATATCATGGGATTATTCTTCCCGATGGTCAACACTACAAAGCCCTCTTAAGTTACCCTTATCGAAAGCACATTTCAGAATTTGAGTAACATTTTATGATATCGGTCACTGGTTGTGCACCTTCTGTAGATTAAGCGTTATCTCCCGGATTTATAAAGGCCTCTTAATTCTCGGATGATTTTGGTCCCTACCTACTTGCTTTTAAGGTTCCCGAACCACAGGCTGTGCGCCTTCCATTAGAAAATCCTAAATTCCGCAATGGTATTAAGGAGGTGCCGTATAGGGCTCAAATGTTGTAATGGATGCGGACCATATAGTATGCCTAGACAGACGGATGCGATTCTATCTGGACGGACATTTCGCGGTCCTAAAAATCGCATTATTGCAAACCTTTAAACCGAAATAATACTGCCTTTCAAGTAGGAAATTTGAGCAGGACCTCCCTTTCAACAAAGATGAGTACGAGAAAGACCATTTTTTGCATGTTTTCTGCCCATCGAAAAATCGTGGGGGAGGGGGGGGGGTTAGATGGGAAATCATAATAAGCAAGTAACATTTTTTTAGTCAGTGAGGTTCTGCAGGCGGTCGGAAAACTGTGCATTTGCAAAGCGGAGCCCTGGCGTGACTAATGTATCTTGATAGTCTGTTTATGAGTCATGCCACCTACTATAAGTATTACTTTCTACCTAAAGGCATCTACTGGGTCGGTCGCCTTCCCTCCTCGGCAGCTCCGGGCGACAGACGTTTGGGAGGAAATGATGAAAAAAAAGCCGTAAATATCGCAACTCATTAAGTTGGCTGACATGCCAGGCTCAAGAAGTCACGTAGGTAGGATTACGCTACTGATGAGTGGGACGCGATCGACTTCAAGGATTCCCACAGTCCTTGCCGATTTTATTTGCCCAGAAAACACTTCCTACTTGGCATGTACTTATTGTTTCTACCTGGTAGCTACTTTTGATCCGAAACCCACACGGGTGGAAAGTCTACGCAGAAACTGGAACTGTATACGGACGACTCGATATTCGGCCGTAATCGTACTAAGTGGCAGTTGTTTTTGCCGCAGAAGCATGGAACTACCCAACGTGTGCATGCAAGACGGACTTCCTCATCGTACGACCGGAGCCTATTGATTGCCCCACACCTAATGTCAACGAGGTGTAGAGCAGGGTGGAATGTCTTTTGGAGATGACACCACATCCATCACGTTCCGGTTTACAGACATGACCGGAGATGGGTGCAGTCGCGTCTACGCGTGCCACGCACGTGCCGTCCTCCGTTCAGACTTCACATGGTAAAGGTGTTGCAAAGATCACCCAAAGAAGGCGTCATGGTAGCCTGTCCCCCCCCGTCCTGAGGAGGATGGAGTCATCTAATTAGTTGTCACAATTCAAGGTCCCGACCACTGTCGCAGCGTCTAGGCGGAGAGAGTGTGTGCGCTACAATCATCAGGTCAAATCCCAAATTGTAAGGAGGAGACAGAATTTACCAGATTGATGGGTTTATTGTGTACAGAACCCGGGGCTGTCCTCTCAGACGGCAGTGGCCGCCGGCGAAGCAAGTTCCAGCGTTGACTGCGTCCAGTCGCGCCTGAGAGTTTTTGGGACAGTGATGGCAGCCGCGTTTTTAGTCTCGTAGGCCTAGCTCAAGTGGTCTCCAATCAGTGTGTTGCATTTACCGAGAAGTGGTGTCCCAGTGGCTTAGGTTATGGCTGCAGGGACGGAGGTGCGTTCAAGTGACCGCATGGGCAGTTGCGCGACTGTGTGTATGCAGGTGTGTCCGAGCTGAAGTCGGTCGAGCAGTTTCAGGTCAACGCGTCTGAAATGGCTCGCTGCAAGGGGTGAAGGACTTGGCGACAGCGATGCGCTAGACAATCACGCCAGACTGGCCATGATGGCTGCCCGCAACAGCGTCTCTCCGCCATAGTTTACAGTAAGACGACAAAGTTTAGCAACCTAACTGGATCCTCATCACGCACCCGCGTCATTAGTGATGTTAGAAAAGGTCTTTGCATGATTGTCGTGTTTTATCTGAACGTGCTGGGGAATTTCGACCAATGTTTCATGTCGCAGTTCTCAGGTAGTCCAGTGGATATGGGAAAGGAGCGGGCGAGACAGGTGCTGTACAAATCGTCGCTACGGCTTCTTGGTCTTCGTGGGTTGAAGCGAGCCGCGCAAAACGCAGTTAGGTCCACCTTTCAGCCCGTTACTGCGAGTCAAACAGGCGAGGTTTGGAGAGACATGCGCTGACCTTGAGCAGTGGAAAAGTCCTGACAGCCCTACTTCGAAACATGAACAGTGCCGCGAATCTCTTTCTCCATCCCCCTCCTCCACCGCCCGACTTGTCGGACAGAATCTCTTCCTTTTTGTAAGCCGACTGCCAGGACAATTTAACTACCGGTGGCGGCACTCTTGTTGCTGCTACCGTCTACAATCTCCCCCTCCTCCTATTCGCACTGCTTCCACTCGCGCCGTCGCAGTCGGCCGTTTAATTAGTTTGTCTTGTCTCTGTGGCCGCACCAGGACGACGCGAGCGTACTCTGTCTGGGTCCAAACTGGGGCGCTCTTAGTGCGTTTTTGCATCCGCTTACGTGTGCGTGCGTCACCCCGTCGGACGCGGCCGTCCCTCCCCACCGTCTTTGGTCGTCGCTCTCGTCATCCGACCGCGATGCCTTCCACCTCACAGCCAGTTCGCTCCTGATTGCGCAATCCGGTGTAGACGAGGTTGTTGTTTTTCGCCTCCGGAGTGTGTTACCGTTCGGACTTATGGCAGGGCCTTCTTTTTTGTCCAGCCGGATCATACACTGGCCAATCCACAAACGAGGGTTTGTGGGCGAGGGGGAGGGTGAGGTTTTCTAGACGCACGACGGGCGTTGCATCAAATTCACCCCAAACCTAGTCGATATGTTGTGGCTATGTGGTCGTAATTTAGGTTAAAAAGTCCAAGCGGAGGGCAGGAAGCACAAGTAAAGTGTCAGAGGGCTGAGAGTTGGAAATGTGACCTCCCCCTCCCTATTTAGTATGCAATTCTATTCCTAGCGGCTTCGAAGTGAGTAACCCAGGGCTGATCAGATGGGAGAGTTTGGTCCTGTTGAGCAGAATTTCAGCGGATGTGCGGTGGAGGGGTTCAACCAGAAGTTGCCCTGAGCGGATTATTGGTGCTAGAGGAATAGGCCACTTTTAGGCAGTCGTAGTAGGTGTGCTATCTCATGAAATGTTAATCGAAATTCCCAAATCTGTCTTCAGTTCGAAAAGATTACTCAAGTAGAATTGTAATATCACTTATCATGCAGCACAATTCCAAGATATTTCAGTCACATCAGGGTATCGGTTTTTGAACCAGCCTCTTTCCGGGTGTCTGCGAAAGCTGCATTCTTTAAAGGATGACTACTCAAGTAACATAGACTTTCCCATTGCCTTTTTAACGCCCTTATAAATTCAAATATATTTTATAGAACACATGGACAAAAATATTCGTTCTTGTGCTCATTTGGTAGCAAATGACGCCTCCTTTAATTTTTATGTTTGAGAAAGTGCATCTTCCGGTTTTTAAAGAAACCTTTTCAATCCCCGAATAATTTTAAACCTGGTCCGCCGTTGATATTGCATTCAGGGTTTATGAACTACAGGCCGCATATTTCCGGTGTAAGGAAAACCATATGGGAAGGCCCCATTCAGACTGGATCTACCGAGCGTGTGAAGAGTCCTTTCAATGCTTAAGCTCCTTCACCCAAGAGGCTTTATATAAGTCTGACAAAATCTCCCTTGCGTATTTTTTGGTTTTCGCGTCTGCTCCTGACAGGAAAGACAGGACACTATCGATTTTTAGGCACATTTAAATGTTTACTATTTTGCACACTTACTTTACGTCTGAGGACGACTTGGAGAACCAAAGTCGAAAATTTACGAAATAAATTTTGTTACCTTTCCCAAGGACTTATTTCTTTCGAATTACGCTTCTCGGTGTGCCTATTTTCAAATTCATATGTTTCTATATGCTATTATATAGAAATCATATAGGGCTCCTTAGAATTTGTAGTGGACTTGGACTACGTATCCTTTATTAGCGAAACTAATAAATGGCCATATACGATGTTTTATGGATGGAAATTTCACGGTCTTACAAAATCTCACGATGAGATATTTTTTTCAAAACCGAAAAACCCTTTTCTCGAGTATACAATTTAAAGAAGAAGTTAATTAGTCCCAAATGAGTACAAGAAAGAATATCCTTGTCAGTGTTTTATGTTAAATATAATTGGATGTATAAGAGCATCAAAAATCGATGATTCATATGCATATTATTTAAATAGTTATTTTGTACAATACAATTTTTGTAGGTGGTCGGAAAGAAGCCCGTTCAAAAGCTGGCATTCTGACGTGACTGAAGTATTTTGAAACTATGCCGCGTGATAATTAATAATGCAATCCTACTTAACTACACTTTTCGAATCGAAGACACATTTCAGCATTTTGTTGAACATTTCATGAGACAGCCTACCTACAGCATATCTCCAAAACCGGCAGACCAGAGCTCACTTTCATAAGATAACTAATGGAAACGCGTTATCAGCCTCTCCGATTAATCAGCAGTTGGCAGATGACGTACGAGTAAGCCGAAACCGGATTTCATGGGATGGAATCTTGAGGAACATCGGCAGCGTTTAGGTTAAACCTCACCCGGTTTCGGAACCTTTAGTTCAATTTGAAAAATGGTCAATTGCTTGCCAAACTGGGAAAACTACCGAGCCATTTCCTTTAGGGGAAGGCCCTAAATGTCTGTCTATTTGTGCACATATCTCCTATTTTGCCTTTTTTGTGTAAGACCATTCAGACTGGATCAACCGAGCATGTGAAGAGTCCTTTCAATGCCTAAACTCTTTCCCCCCTTCGTGTCTTTTGGTTTGCGCGCCTGCTCCTGTTTTGATTGACATTTAAACCAGGAGAGAAAGTCCCACGTTTGGCACACTGCCGCCTTACGGAGGCCCTCCTTTGTATCAAAGATGGTAGGGCCTTGTTACAGTATAATTCCAGCCTCTCGTCCCTCCCCCCCTCACGTCTTATTTCCGGCACACGCGTCCTTTTTTCAGGTCTTGCTTATTCCCTGCGATGCCCGCCACTGATGTCCTCCATTTGGGTTTGGAAGGCTTAATGCTCTCCCTCACAAGGTGTTGATTTGCTATCTCTCTCTTTTTATCGGTTTAGTGTGTTATCGCTCACAACCCCTTTCTCGTCTAAACTTTGAGGGTGTCGGGTCAGTAACCACCCCAGGTGCTGCAGTTTTTGAATGAAAATCTCACTCCTTTGTGTCTTGCGCTTTAGAGTACTGTTACGGCGGTCATCAGTTTGGCGGCTCAGGTATCTTCGAGATGTCTCCCAAGGACACCAGCGCTCTGGGGCCCAACTACATCTTCAGGTTCGTGGCCTCCATGCATATTTATATACGCGTGAAAATTCGAAATCATCTTCCTTTTCTCCATCTCTATTGCCCTTCGTCTTCCTCGGGCGTTAATCGACGAGATATATGGGTTTGGGTAAGACCGACTGACGACGGCTAATAAGCCCGAAATGGTCTTCGCAGCCCCTTCGTCGATAATCTCCCGCCCATATATAAAACTGCATAGTTTTCTGGCAACTTGCTTCTTGCTCACCACAGCTGCTAGAGTTCGCCAGAATTCTAGCTCTACTATGGTCGCTGCAGCCGATGTCTCCAGTACCCAACCAAATTGTCTTCTGGACGGATCACAGTTTTTGTCTTGAGAAGGACCACTGGACAGCAACTGCTGCCACCCCGTGGGAGGGCGACTTTCGCACCGCCCTGCACCCACAATGTTTCAGTCGGGACCACTAGATGCAGAGGCTGACCTGACCGAACTCGCGAAATGCTGACGAGATCTAGGCAGATTAAATGGCATTGCTGACAAAGACAAGGGAGACTGGAATGGCCATTTCTGGCTCATTAACCATCGTCAGGCAATCATGCCCAACCCCGAGGTGTGAAGGACCTGGGATTCGATCCCGCGACCTGTTGGCTATAAGTCCGACGCCCCTAACCACTGAGCTACGGCCCCGTTGACCTGTCGGCTGCGATCGGGTATATACAATAGTAGAGGAGCGCTCACCGATCATTCTTACGGAACTCACTCGTACCGTTGTTCCATACGGGCTCTCTCTTGAGCCGCGCAAGCAGCCACGCATCGGCTTGAGAGAGAGAGGGCCCCAAGGCACAACGGGATGAGATAGCTCCGTAGCGCGATCTGTGGGCGCCCCTTTTCCATACGAAGATCTATTTGGAATTAGGAATGATTACTCACGTGGGGTTATGGAGCGTAGTCCCATGTTATTTTAATTACGCCAAGTGCACCCCGCTTCGATTGCCTACAAAAACTGCACTCAGTAAAAAGGACTCCCTAAGTAGTATGCATTTTGATATTGACTTTCAATGCCCCTATAAATTCAAACATTTTATGAAAAAACAAACCCAAAAATATTATACATTGTACTCATTTAGGAGTAAATTACGTCTTCAAAAATTATACTCGATCAAAGCGTGTTTTTTGGTTTTGAGAAAGTTTCTAATTATAGAATTTTTTTAATATAATGTAATGTCTATTTAAATAGCATTTTATCTGTTCGTTTATTAATGCTCCTCAAGAAGCGTACAACACAGTCTACGTCAGCTGCTACATTTTTTGAGCCCTATGTGATATTTTTTAATGGATTGGAGGAATAGATGATTTTCCCAACGCAGAAAGTATACAACGCGTAGACTGAAAACCATAAACGCAAATGCGGCGGCGGCGGCGGATGGGGAACAAAGTTATTCGGAAATTGGAAACCTCTTTGAAACCGAAATATACACAGCCGTTGAATGTCCGGTCTGTCCTTCTCTACGGTTGTGAATGCTGGGCTTTGCGCGTGGAGGACGAGCGAAAACTGGAGGTATTTGACCACCACTGCTTGAGGACCATCCTTCGAGTGAAGTTCACCGACTTCTTCTCAAATGAGATAGTCCGCGCTCGCTGCGACAGCATCGCAAGGATAACTCGGACCATCCAAGAAAGACGACTTAGGTGGTTCGGGTATGTGCTTCGTCGTCCACCTCAGGAGCTCAGTGTTACTGCCCTCGATCCGGCACCATTGCTCCATTGGAGGCGTCGAAGAGGGGGGTCAGTTCAAAACCTGGCTGGACACAGTTCATCAAGACATGAAGGTGGTTCTTGGATCTTCGGTATTCGGTCTCCATCGTTGGCGAAGGGAATAGGTTGAGCTGTCCAGATCTGCTGTCACGGATCGTCACGCGTGGAGAGGTAGAGTTCGGGACATCATCGAGGCCGGCTAGATCAGGCATGATCGCATCCGTATCAAGTACAAGTACAGCCGTTGACTATAAGAATAGAAGAGGAAATAATAATCTGCCAAATGAGTACAAGGAATAATATTTTTGTGTACGTTTTATATAAAATATATTTGAATAAGGGCATCAAAACTAGTGGAAAAGAATTCATATAACACTTGTGGTGTCATTTTTTACTCAGTATTGTTTTTGCGGGCACCGAAAAAGGTAACGTCTTGGTTTGTCTGAAATATCATGGTATTATTCTTTCCGATGGTTAATACTTCAGACCCCCTCTTAAGTAACCCCTCCTAGTCGAAAGCAACATTTCACGAGACGGGTCACTGTCTGTACTACCATATCTACGTGTGCCACAACACGCCGTACTGATTTCTGCCAAATGACTCTATATGTCGCACCCAAATTAGCTGTCGTTACGGGGTTGCTCCATCCACAGCCATCTGGGAACGTCAGCCGGATTCGTTGTCCACGCGGTTTATTGGAGCAACGGATGGGGACTGGGCGAAAGATTCGATCAGAGTCGGGTGTCCACCCTGTGCATCTTATCAATATCTGTACAAGCATTTGTTTACCCCGTCGACCCTCAGCATCAACTGGAAACTGTCCTTATGTTGAATGCCCCATTCAGAGAAGCAAGCCGGTGTTTGGAGCGGAGGGGAAGGGCTTTTTTCTGTCAGATGCTCCAACAATTTGTCGGCCTCTCTCTGGTCTTTTCAGCTGGTTACGAAAGTGGTGCTGTGGGGGGCGACCTGGGCACACCTATGCATAGACGGACTGCTGTACAACGTGCTTCCGTTGCTTGCAACAAGTAGGGAATTCCGAGGGGCAACACCCACATTTTCTTCAAATAAACTGAACTAAACTAAACTTCGTCAGCTCGACTTACGCACCCTCCCCTTCCTTGGTGAACTGGAACCGTGGAGGAGGTAGCCTGTCTGCTACGCGCGTTGCGCTGCGAAAAGACCGTTTGCCGGACCACTCGACCACATACACGGCGCCAGGTGTGTGACCTGGCATTATCTGCGATCGACGGCCGTGGCGCGACCTTATTTAAGACTATAGTGGATCCCGTTCAGGTCCACGTGCCAACCGACTCGTCAACAGCAGTACCGACTAACTATTCCACGACATGCACTTTTTCATCACAACGTTCACCCCGAGGGGAGTTCAGGGTTAAGCAGATTTGTGGGCAATGAGGCTGGTAAGATAGATGTTCCCTCCGATATAGCAGGGGTGTAATCCCGTCAGTCGCATTTCAAGCAGCATCCTTTGCGCACTAGACTATCCATAGAAATAGGGACCGATGCCCTCACACAGGACAGTTCGACCGTCGCAAACGAATACACCCACCGCGCATGTCCCTCGGAGTGGACGCGGGACGGTGATCTGTTCAGCATTAATCGCACTCTATCCTCCCTAACACGCCAGGCTCCGATGTCAAGATGACCTGAAGTGGGCCCGCGCGCAATGGCCCACTGCGCGTGCCATACACGACCTAGTCCAGACTACTTGTATCAGGCTTTCTGTGAGGGGGGTTCAGGTCTCAAATGGGCGAGAGTGCTGCCCTAGAGGAGGAGCCATCGCAACTTGAATCTCATTCTTGAAAAGGATCGAGTTATCTCGCCAGTTGGCAGTCCTCGAAACTGCGACTCTTAGCGCGTCGGACTGATTGTAGTGAGGAATGCGCTGAAAGATGGATTTCCCAATGCCGACCTCACTCTCTCCCTTCCTACTCCCATGCAGCCTCAGTCGACTGTCTGAGCCTGTCAGTCAACTGATGATAGTGTTGGACGCATTGGCTGACGCGGGGACTCGGCGCAGCCAGACAAACTCGTACCGCGAACCATTCCGATATCGTCCGATCTAGTCCCTACGTTGATCTAGGGCATATACCACGTGACCCTAACAAGAACAATGACAAAACAGTCACTGAAAAGCACGTCAAAGTTTTAAAAAACAGGATCTCGTACGGAGAGATTTTACAAGTTCTTCTACTTTCTACCTAAGTGTTATAAATGCAGACGCTTTTCGCACCGACGCATTGGTAATCCACTCGGGGGGAGGGCTGTACGTCGCTCACCACGGTCATGATTAGCGACACTGTTGCTCCGGATTCCCCATTCTGTCGTAAACAGGCCGGGCACAAACGCTGAATCGGTCGTGGTTATTTTTGTTGCCGAACTGGTGTGAACGTCTGGCTGTGTCGGCGCTTTTTGGCGGCCCTGCCTCCGACCCTGGAATCACCGTTTTCGCCAGTCGTTACTGCCCCAACGGGCTGCACCGTAGATGCTTTGAACCGAAACGGGGAACCAGGTTGGCTCCTGACTCGCGCAGCGCAGGCTTCGCGCGACCTGTCAGCTGGTTGACAGGTTCGGACGGTCCTGAGCGCGGGGCACACAGTGGACGTCCTCGATTGCGGCGGTTGATTTTTCTTAACGGCTGCTATTAAACACAATGCTGACTCTTGTAGGACATCTATTGAGGTCGGCCACACGGATTTCACCTACGACGACGTTTGTATGATACTGAACAACATGGAAGAAGAGTTCTGCGGAGATCGGTACCATCTGCTGCGCAAAAACTGCAACCACTTCTCGCACGCCTTTGTCGAGGTCAGTTTTGGTTTTCTTGCAGCCTGGAAATGTCTGCGCTCTCCGGAGCTCCTCACTCGCTCGCATGTGTTTTTTTTCATTCAGATTCTCTGCGGCGCCTCATTGCCGAAGTGGATCAACAGACTGGCGGTCGTCAGCACCAAATTACCCTTTATTGAACGGTCCATCCCCAAAGAGTGGCTCACTCCCCACGGTGTAAGTCAAAGAGACGTTTGGATTCGCTGTTTAAATTGCTAGTCCCACTGCATTGTTGCACTTTTTTCGTTGGTAATATGCCATGCCGTAGAAGCAAGTCAGTTAGGTCTCAGACAGGTGAATGTCGGGCGTTTACATAGCTCGTGACAACCCTTTGGTGTTCGCGGTGGTGGTGGTTATGATGCTGTTGGCGCGCACAACGTGGAATTGGGAGGTCCGCGGGAGGGCTCTTTTTGTACTCCCAGTCTCCCTGCTGCCGAAAAGCGACGGGGTTGACACTCATTTCCAACCTGTCCTCGTTGCGATCGGCCTCTTGAGCCTCGCGCGCGCGAACCAAAGCCAGAACACCCGATCCGTCAGCCACATATGTCTCCACCTGCTCGCAGCGCCCTAAAAAATCCAGACATCGCATGGGTCTTTTAGGCTCTGCGAGCATCCGAGACAGCAGGATTCGCGCCACCGTCATCCCGACCACCACCAGCTCAGTAGCCACGGTCCCTCCCCGTTCATTCTGTCCCTTCACACCCGAGTCGTGCATCGGCTCGGTCGGTCGCTTGCAAGTACACCTGCCCACAGCGCCCCAGGCTCTGTGCGCTTCCAAGACAGCGGGAATCATGGCAATGTCATCACGACCAACCCCTGCCCCTCGCCCAAAAACCCTCCCTCCAGCACCAACAGCGTTACCACCATCACCTCAATAGCCACAGTCCCTCTCCGTCTCTTCGCATCTGAGTCGCGCATCGGCTCGGTCGGTCGCTTGCAGATACACCGCAGCGTGACCACCAAACCACTGCCAGGAGCCCCAGGATATACACCCATCGTTTCAATTTCACCACCATACACTGTCCAAGGACATCCTATCATGGCGTAGGCCTATTCGGTCATAAACACATCTACAGAGATCTTCAGTGGGACTGCGTGGTCCAGATCCCGTCACCACACCCCTCGCCCTACCTTTTCTCACTCCCATCTCTAGGCTACATATGAACCTACTTCACAGCATACGCATACACGCTACCCCCCCCCGTAACAACACCATGTCTCTATCCTGCAGCAAGCCTACGATCTCCTTTGTCGTCGTGGAGATGGTGGGCGAAACGTCGCATATCAGAACATGCGCGCGTCATTCAGGGTAACCTGGTCGAAGTCGCGGCAGCGGCACGCGTAGTCGGGTTATTAAGTTTTGTCAGCCACTGGGCCCAATCCCATCTTCAGGTTCAGGCAGTCGGCCGATGCATGGGAAAGCGGGGAGAACACGAGGCTAGCACTGGGTAGGAACTCCATCCCCACGTCAAACCAGCTCATTTGTCACCTTAATAACTGATGCACTCGACTTTATTACGACGCGCCAAGAGTCATGGCTTTGAGGGTTGTCGACTAATGGGATAGCATTACTTTCATTTTGAGTATTTTGGCGCATCCTGGCATTCGCACTCATGTGATCGGGATCGCCCTAACAGGCCCTGGGACCAAGCTTCCGGTCTACTCGACATTGTCCTGCCATCAGACCCAGGTGGGTGATGGGGCAGAGAGTGCCGTAGGTGCTGTGCAAGTCTGCCCCAGTTCTGCCTCTGCCACGCGCGACGGTCGAACTGTCCGTATGCCGTAACGTGTGTGTATGTGTGGAAGTGGGTGTAACACCCCCATTTTACCTCATCCTTTACCTCAAACGTGTCGGCCGTGAACTCCGCAGGAACAGACCAGCCGATGTGGTCCGCTTCCCCTTGAGTGAAGTTCTGCACTTTGAGTGCCCGGCTATGGCGTCAGCGACGGCCTCAGAAGAAGGAGCGAGAGTTTGGTTTGTCTGTTGCTTAGCGGCCGACGGGGCCTCTTTCATGCGAGTCAAAAAGCGCTTCATCTGCCTCATCGACTGCTTCGCAGACTTATAACTTACTAGTATTGCTTACTTGAGGAAGAAACGATTTAAAAGTCAGACCTTCGAAGGGTTTTTCAGAGTTCGCTGCATTGGACTTTTAACCATGATGACGTATATTTTAAAGCAGGCATAGACAGCAGAATCTATAGGTATCAGCCAATTTCGCGACGGCTTATCAACTGCAGCCTGTCGTTGCATAACACAAATAACAAGTGAGAAAGGTACAGGGGTTTGAACTTCGTCAGAGAAGATCGTTGTAAAACAGCAAGGTCATCGTAAAATCCCCACAGGGCACTCTTTGCTGTTTATGCAACTCTGAAGAAATTCAACGCGTATATTCTCCTTCGTTTTGCTGCATCGTAGTTTCAAAAGCCTTTCCAAGGACTTAATAATGTCTGAGGGGAGGTGCTGTTCGAGAAACTGTAAGCAATATTTTCCCGGAATAAATTTAAAGCACTTTCTCACTTGTTACTTGTGTTATGCAACAACAGGCTGCAGTTGATAAGCCATCAAGAAATTTACTGGTACCAATAAATTATGCTGTATGTGCCTGCTTCCAATTCATTCCGGGGAAATATTGCGTCATGATGACGTAGACAAACTTTTTTTTACACTTGTGTAGTACCTGTTGATTGATATGGGTGTTCATAAACCCCTCTTGAATCACAAACTTATTGTAAAAATGTAGTAAACATCAGCCAACTATCTTATAAACATTCAGCTCATTTCAGTTTTTTTGAGAGCAATTGACAGTCTTGAAAACCCCTGCTGTTTACATGCCGGTGTGCCATGTGCAGCCGTGCACGCGTTCGCGAAAATTATCAACATCTAAAGGGTATTCATATAACTTAAGTAGCATTGTTTTTAGGCAAATTTCCGTCCAGGGTTGCATTTACTTCAGATCCAAAGTTTCGAGGGCAAACAAGTGACGCATATAATTATCCAAGCGTTCCATGAAGAGCTGCGGAGACTGGACGAAAGATGCCATTGGAACAGTCCGCACAGCATCAGTACTCTGGACCTTTTACTAGCTTTGTCGCACGACTTTGTACTTTCTCGGACATGTTTTGTCCTTTGCGAGCTATTTGGACTACTAGTCATCCTGGGGAGAAATATTTCCTCTGTATGGCATCGATTTTTGACCGTTGTAGGACGACGCTGTCAACAGGGGAGGAATTCATAACTGCCAGAAATACTAGACCATAGGCATACAGTGATGTCCGTAAATCCCAGTCTGTTGATTTACGTAGGCCTGAAACGTAATTGTCTCTTCATGCATGTAGGAGGAGGAACAGGCGAACAACAGAGCGGTGGTGTCATCGTCGGCAGCCAACAACCAGAGGCAGCACTCCAGCAAGCGTAGTTCCAGTTCCCTTGAGTCCACGCCCTCCTCCATGGACAGACAGCTCCCGAGTCGGAAGTTCAGCTTCCATCGCAACGGCGACAGTCGCAAACAGGCTACCCCCGCGGGTAGTTCTTCCTCTGACGTGAGTGAGGTGGCCCCACCTGGAACTAGCCCTCCCTCGAAGGCGGCCGAGTCCTGGCGACGTTTCTCGGCCCAGGTACAGAGTTATTTCCAGTCGACGCCGCACTCCGCTCCGGCCTCCGGTCGTGTACGCAGCGCCTCAAAAGCGGACCAATCAACCGGGGTGACGGCGACAACCACGAGGGCTGGTGTATCGTCTTCCAACTCTAATTCCCCCCTGCATCCTCCCATCGTCAGACCTGCAAGTGCGAGGTCCACCAGCTCATCAAATAGAGACCTAATCATTCCCGTTACGCGTACTAATCGGGCCCCTTAGTTGTTGTATCTTTCTCT